GTCCCAATCTTGAAATCAACCCTGGTCACAGCCTCTGCTGGAGAAATTGATGCCATCCCACCCAAAAGGAGCTGTCTTTGCTCCTGCTGCAGGGCACATGCGCTGGGGGCAACCACCCTGGAGTCAGAGTTGCTGAATTCATCTCACTGTGCGATCCTCCTGCAGGGAAAAATCTTGTAATTGACTACTTTGCTCTGGTCCTGTTTTCTCTTCTATAAAATAAGAATTTTAAAAGATTAGTTTAACAAACAGGCCAGGCCCATCTGAGTGCCGAACAAGTAATTAACTCAAGGCCTGCTCATAACAGTCCTTTGAAGTAGGTGCTAGCATCTCATCCTTTAACGGCAGGGGAAACTGAGGCACAGTGAAGCTAAGTAAGCTGTCCAATGGCTGATAAGAAAGCCATTTATGTGCACCAGAAGTTTGACTCTTAATTCTCAGGCCAGTGCTTCCCTACGCTATGCATGAATCCAGATCTTGTGGAGCTATGGGCTACAGGGTGTGGACCTTATCAGGTACAGAGGTAGACAGGGACAAAGTGTAAAGAGGAATGAATGGAGGTCTCCTGAGAGCCACACTCAGCCTTGACGTCCTGCATCCACTTGCAGGATTCTTCTGTGAGTAACATAATCCAGGTTAGTGCTGCTTGTTCCATTAAAGAGGGTTCTGAGGTTAGAGCCTTCAACTTGGCTAGAGCAAAACACACTTCCCACGGGGCACGGGCGCCATCTGCCTGCAGCGTCCTGCTAAGGCCAAGCTCCGAGGGGCAGCTGTCTGAAAATCACTGCACAACCATGGGGACTGATAACAGTGGCTTCCAAATTTTTCTGACCATGATGCCCGTTAACAAATGATTTTAATGAAAATATCACAATGCAACTCATTCTTGTGCCATCAATATGTGCTAATAATTATAATTGTTTTAAAAATCATTTCACACCAACATCATTTCACGAAACAATGCCAGCCATTGTTAAACACTGTCAGGATCCTTTATGTCAATTTCCTTAATCTGTAACACATACCCATCTGTATCTCTCCACCCCACCCTTTCTTTTCAGATAAGGTCTTGCTGTGTAAGCCAGGATGGTCTCAAATTCTCCATCCTCCTGGCTCAGCCTCGATAGTACCAGGATTATAAGCATGTGCCAGGGTACGTGAATGACATTCTTGAGCTCAGACTTAAAAATGCAAGTGCTCCCATGTGACACATGATCAGAGCTGGAAAGTAAGTGATGGTGTGCCCGGTATTGCTGAAACCAACCATCCCACCCATGTGTAGAAAAATGTCTGAAAAACATCTGCACATTAAAGACAAGAACTTCTCAACAGCCGTTGACCAGGATGTCCCAGGCCAAAGTCCTGGGGAAGCCAGAACCCAAGAAGAGGGTAGGCAGAGAAGACCCTGTCCAGGGCCGTGGCTGCAAACTGGCACTCAAACTTGGCCTACACATCTGTGCTTCCCCTCTGTCAGACCACTGGGCTCCCACTCAGGAATGCTTCAAACTAAACCAAGCCCCGAGGCCCCTGTCCTCCAGCTGAGGACCCAGGTGGAAATCACAGGAAGTCTTGTCCATGGTCACAGCATCTCAGAAATGTGTTGCTTCCTTTCTTTTTAAATCTCATTCTGCTCAGCACTAAGAAGAGCAGGATAATGAAGTAAAAATCCATAAAGAAGCCTCCCCACCATCATCTGGGATGCCCTATGTCTCCCAGGGTGGCCATGGCACCTCACCACAACAGATGCTCATTTTCTCACAGTTGTGGGGGCCAGAAGTTTGGAATCCAGGTGTCACCAGGCCCCTCCTGCAGGGCTCTAGTGGGCACCCCTTGCCTTCCTTTCCCTGCTTTGGCAAATTTTTCAGTCCCCTGGCTTTGACTGGATCACCCGACTCTCATCTTCTGTCACCACATGGTGCTCTCTTCCATCGGTATGTCTCTCATAAAGACCTTTGCCATCAGATTTAGAGCCCGCATTTGCATTTTTTCAAGTAAAACACATTCAGGGTTGTAGAAGTGAGCACATGGAGGATCCCTGTTCAACCAATCGCACATCCCAAAGGCTAAATGAACAATTCCACTTCTGAGAATAAAACACCGAGGACTGAGAGGTTTGTACCCCCATGTGCATAGCAGCATAGTTGGAAAGAGCCAAAAGATGTGAGCAACCCAATGTTCAATGACCAATGAAGGAATAAGCAAAATGTCTGGTATATACTATGACAGACTATTATTCAGCTGTGAAAAGGATAGGAATCTCTGACACCTGCCACAGCATGGGTAGATCACAAACTCATTACACTGCGTGTAACAAGTCAGTTTACGAAAGGACTAACATATGATTCTAGTTATATGAGATACCTAGAGCAGTCAAGTGTAGAGACAGAAGGTGGCCAAGTACCAGAGTCAGGGGAAAAGAAAATGGGGAGTCATTGTTGAATGGACACAGAGCTTTCATTTTGCAAGATGAAAACGAACTCTAAGCATGGTGATGCATACCTGTAATCCAAGCACTTGGGAGGCTGAGGCAGGAAGATCACCATGAGTTCGAGGCCAGCCTGGGCTATAGAGTGAGTTCAAGGCCAGGCCAAACTGCAGAATAAGACCTCGTCTCAAAAAAAGTCAAAAAATAAATATCATAAGAAAAATGTATACATGAAGTATGATTTTAAAATGATGATTTTGAGGCTGGGGATTTAGCTTAGCGGCATAAGCACCTGCCTTGTAAGCAGGCGGTCGTGAGTTCGATCCCCGGTACCGATTTTAAAAAATGGTGATTTCTTTTTAAATTATTATGTTAAGACACATTGCATTTGCTTTAATTTAGTGATATGGATGGCTGTTTCTGGGAGGATAATGTGTGGCCTGTTGACTGGTGATTTCGTACTGTATATATTTTTTTCTGGAGGTGCTGTGTTGTTTGTGCCCTTTTACTGCATTGTTTTTTTATGTCCTTTCTTTTTTTCTTCTCTCTTTAAATAATAAAAAAGACATATTACATTTACTCCTCCTCAAAATATTCCCCTTACTTCAAACATTTACTCTAAAACTGCTTCAGGAAGTGGCAAGAACAATGGGATGTTTAAAACAATAGTGTATTTTTGTTTCTTTGGTTAGTTTTGGTGTTGAGTTTTTAACACAGTCTCTCCCTGTAGCCCAAGCTGGCCTTGAACTTGGTGCAATACTCCTGTCTCAGCCTTCTAATTGCTGGGAGTGTGTGGGCCACCACACCCAGTGAGGTGTATTTTGAGGGTAATTAATCTCAATATGTCTTTTACTGTAATAAATTTTTAAAACTTAAACATTCATCATAATTTTAAATCAGTATGTATAAAGATCATCCCTCACTGACAAATTTTTGGTTTTGTTTTATTTTGTTAAGACAGGTTCTCACTATGTTGTCCAAGCCATCCTAAGCTAAATAGCTTAGGCTGGCCTCAAAACTTGTAATACTCCTGCCTCAGGCTCATGAGTGCTGAGATTACAGGTGTGCGCCATGCCCAGAAAGAGGTGACATTGGAATTTCCCTGATTATTTCTCCCTCACTGGCCTGTGAGCCACAGAAGAGGACACCATTGTGTGTGTCCATGCCTGTATGCCATATCAGGAATCACGCCCCCAGCAGGTGGGAAAGTGTTCCACAAGCACACACTGTACACCCTCCTCCGAACCAGTATCTCCACATCTGCCCAGTTAGGCTTCCTAGGTGCAAATCTTTGGTCCAACAGGGACAGTCACCTTGAGGGTAACACACATTGTTGCTTGGACTCGATATCCATTCCTTCTCTTCATCCTGATTTACCTCCAAATATACACATTGTCAGGCTAGGGCCATAGCTCTAAGCAATAAGATAGCTCTAAGCAATAAAATTCTGCTAGAATCTTCTAGGAAAATTTTGATCTCCTCCCTTAATTTCAGATATGATGCCTGGAGTGGTGGCCTCCATATTGTGACCATAAGGAAAAGACTAAGAAAATCAAAAAGGGCTCAGCAACATCCCCAAGTCTCTGAACAGTGGCAGCAGCCCCCATCTATAGGTATAGATGAGAAAAATGTATCTGTTTATGTAATCCATGGCCAGATCTGCCATTACTTGAAGGCGAAAAACCATGTGTAAGCAGTACATTTGACCATATGACACTTGTCTACCCTGCCAGAATAGAAGCTCCAAAACAGAAAACATCATTTCAGTCGCCACCTTGTGTCCACCTATTGCCCTCCCCACCCAGCAGATGGATGCAAAAGGACTGTGGCCAACATTTCTTCATCCAAAATGTGACACCATCTTCCTGTTGGATTCACTGAAATAACACACAAAGTGCTAAAAACACGTTTGGTGTAAGCTGTCAATGAAGGCAGCCATGTCTCTACCAGGGACTCCAGAGGAAACAGGTGGGTCACAGGACTGACAGCCTGGCAGAAGGCTCCCCCAGAACCAGAGGATGGAAAGGTGAGAGGGTGCTCAGCAGCAGAGAACTGGTCACTCTTCCTGCAGCAGCCCAGCCCCTGTAGCTCTTTGTGGTCCTTTCAGCGTGGGTGACAAGGACCACAGGGACCCAGCACTTTCAGTCTTCCTTCTGCCAATGGAAGCAATAAATGGTCTGAACTTAAATCATTCTTGTATCTTTTTCAGCTGATAAGACACACTTTGATTCGGTCCTGCTATGTATTACTCTTAACGGTGAACAGGTATTTTTGTTTTGTTTCTGATTTTTTTGCAGTACTGAGAATTGAATTCAGCCCCTTCACACTGAGGTAAATCTCCAGTTTTTTTTTTTTTTTTTTTTTTTTTTTTTACATTTTTGGCACAGCATCTTGCTAACTCTCTAAATTGCATAGGCTGGGCTCAAATTTGTAATCCTCCTGCCTCAGCCTCCCATGGTGCTGGGATTACAGCTATGCACCAGCACAACCAGCACTGTTACCTTTATTAAAGTCTCTGCCCTAGAAGTCTCTCTCCCCAGCTTCTATCAAAGACAAGACACATAGGCCAGAGCAAATTCTGCATTTTATTTCTGCTCACAACCCAAAGAGGTAAATCCTCCCGCTTCACAAATCAGATTTTTCTCCCCGAACTAAAATGACCCCCCAGTCACCAACTACGGACACGCCCCCCCTCCCCACTGGCCTGCACATCGGGCTGCTCTGCTGACTTGGCTCCCTCCCCCACACAGCTCTCGACTGAAGGCCTTTTCACTCACATTACATTGGGCTCTACCTTAATACCCTCCCTCACTTAGATGAGAGAGAGACTTCCTGACCTCACTTCCCGGCGCTGGCTTGTGGCTACTCCACCCGGAACAGCCAGCAAGAAGCTATATTTGAAATTGGGGACCAGAGCTCCAGGTTCTGAGCTCCCCGCTGTACTGGAGGTGTGCAGATGTTTACTAGGGTGAACATCACTGATTGGGATAGGAGGGTAACATTCAAAAGGCACAAGGAGGATTAAAGGGTAAAAGCAGGAGGGTTTCGGATGACACTTACGGAGATAAGGTGGGACCCCCCCCCCAACCCAGCCCAGAATTTGCCGGGCAGCTGAGGCCACACCCCCGACACAAGGCCACGCCCCCAAGCCCGCCTCTAGCTGCTGCGCGTGCGCTGACTGCGAGCCTTGTACACCTCGATGAGCAAGTCCTTCACGTACTGGATCTCGCGTTCCACCGACTCGGCCCGCTCCCTCAGCTCCCGGTTCCGAGCCTCCAGCCCCTGGCACTCGCCCTCCAAGGCCTCGCCTTCCGCCCGCTTCCTCTGGCGGTACCTCAGCGCCGCTGACTTGTTCTGGTCTCGCTTCTTCTGCTTGCGATCCCCTCGGGCGGTGGCGGGGTTGGGGTAGGGGGAGGGGCGAGCGGGCTGCGGTGCGGGGACCGGTTGGGGAGCGGGCAGGGGTCCCAAGCCCAGGTCGCCCTGCCCGGCCTCGCCGCGGCAGTAGATGGCTAGCAGGTCGAGGGTGTCCAGGGCCGAGGGCTGTGGGAGGTCAAAAGTAGGCAGAGGGAGAGAGGGGGCCGGGGCCGGGGGCGGAGGCGGTGGTGGTGGTGGCGGTGGGGAGGGCGGCGAGAGGAGCGGGGCGTCCAGGAAGAAGTCTTCCATCTGCTCCAGCTCCTTCTTGAGCAGGGAGGCCATGGCTTCCAGGTCAGGAGTGGGTGGGGAAGCTGGGGGGAGGGTGCCGGCGGGCAGTGGGGAGTCCAGAGGGAGGAGGGCCGTGAAGTCAACTCGTTCAGTCATCCAGTCCGAGAAGCCATCACCTGGGGATCGGAGGGGGGGAACACAAAGCACCCTCATTCGTGCTCACCTGTCTTAAATTCAGTCAGTAGAACCACCAACCACTCAGTCAATCAAGTTACGAATCATCAAGCCAGTCAACAAACCAGCAGAGGATCCAATGAACTTACTAACTAGCCAGTTGACAACCAAAGAACCAGACAACCAATCAACCACTGGAACAACCTGAGTACGCTGCATCCCTAACAGTGGTCCCTTTCTCTGGCTAGAGCTAGGGCTTAAGCCCAGGGCCTTCACATAGCTACCACCCAGCCCCCTTTTTAATTTTTTAAGACAGCATCTTGCTAAAATTAAGTTGCCCGGTATGGGCTCAGACTTGTGATTCTTCTGCCTCAGTTTCCTAGAGTGCAGGAATTACAGCATGGGCTACCATGCCTGGCAATCTAATTTATTCCATAACTCACTCCGGTTTGTTTTTTTGAGAAACGCAGTGTTGGAGATTGAACCTTGTGCCATTTCACTGAGCTACATCTCTACACCTTGTCTCTATTTTTATTTTAAGACAGGATCTTGCTAAGTCACTAAGTTGTTGTGGCCAGGACCAACTTTGCAATCCAGCCTCATGGTCCCAGAGAGTCAAAATTACAGGCATGTGTCACAGCTCCTAAGTTATATATATTTACATCCTTTTTTTTTTTTTTTTTTTTTTTTTTTTTTTTTTTTTTGGTTTTTGTTTTTTAACTCACTATATACAGTTCAAGGTGGCCTTGAACTCACTCTGTAGTCCAGGCTGGCCTTGAACTCTTGGTGATCCTCCTGCCTCAGCCTCCATGCCTATACTAAGATTACAGGCATGCACCACTATGCCTGTAATCTATCTTAAAAGGCAAACAAGATCATCTGACACATACACGGTCTCATCTTTATTTCCTGACAAGATTTCTGTATTGCCCAGGCTGGCCTGGAATTCCTAGGATTAAACAATCCTGAGCAACTGGGACTACAGCCCAGGGATTCATCAGTTATTAATAAAACACTGGCAAGCATCTGGGATACAGCTATGAATAAAATAATTTCTGCCTCAGGATCTGCTTATGTGTTGCCTCCACCTGATACACACTTCCTTTGAGTTTTTTCATTTCTTCTGCTGTTTTACTCCACCATCTGTTACCTGCTTGGAAGTTTCCTTCCTACCAAAAGAAAGCTGCTGTATGTTTTCCACTTATCTGAACATACCATCTTTTACCTCTTGTCTGCCTGCCCCCTGCATTTCATTCCAGGGAGACACGGGTATGTTACTGATTGCCAGCCCAGTACCTAACAGTGCCTGGCACACTGTAGGCATTCAGTATTTATCAACAGAATGAATGAATGGATTCTTTCCCTTGCCCTCAACTCTGGCTCACCCCACCAGTCCTTACCTGCCAAGGGCTCTCCTCCCCCTGGGAGCCCACCCTCCAGGGCTCCTCCAAGGACCTCAAAGGAGCCCAGGGGGGCAGGGGCCAGGGGGAGTTTCCCATAGTCTACAAGCCATCCCAGCCCGCTAGCTGGGATCGAGCCCTTGTCCAGCTCGAGCCCCAGGGTCGCCAGGAGTGACATGGCTGAGGCACAGGTTCAGGGCACCAATGACAATGGAAGCTGCGCCGATGGCAGGGAAGAGGCTCCAGAAGTTGCTCAGCTGGATGAAGATGGCTGTGGAGGTGGAGGACCTGTGTGCAGAAGATGAGAGCGCAGTGGGGTTAGATGCTGGCTTTACCCACCAGCCGGAGGCACGGGGACACCGAGCCACCTGCCCCTCTCCTTCCCCCTGTGGCTTGGGACCAACTCTTGTCCACTCAAGTCCTAAATCACCCCTTTCCCTCCCCAAGTTTGGGAGCCCTACCCATTCCCAAGGGATTCTTTTCTTTTAGAATTCCCAAGCCCCAAAACAGAACCTCCAGTGTTTTCCCAGGGGAATTACTTCACACCCCCTCCCACACACACACCTTATATTCTTACTCACATAAAACAATCCTAGGGAAATTTTCCTCTAGTCCTTCTAAGTATTTCCTTTAGGTCCCACTCCCTTCCCAGGTGACTCAGGCCGGCTCCCAGGGGATTCACCCATGTCCTGGCCAGCCATCAGTCACCACTCAAATCCCACTCTTATTAAATCTCACTGCGACCTTCAGGGACCCTACAAGCCCTACCCCTCAATTCATACAGCTCCGCCCCTAACCAAAGATACCGAGGCCCCGCCTCCTGGCCTGCTCAAAGCCACGCCCCCTCATTTAATAACTCTGGGCTCCACCCTCCTCACAATGGGCTCCCCCAACCCTTACTCCTCTATGTCCCCTTGGATGTCCTCCTGGCTCCACCTACTTTTTTGGGGTTTTTTTGTAGTAACATGGCTTGAACCTGGGACCTTCACTGAGATACATCTTTGGCCCTTTTTTTAAATTTTTATTTTGAGACGGGGTGGGAGGATCGCCCTACACCATCCAGGCAGGGCTCGAACTTGCGATCTTCCTTAGCCTCCTAGAGTGCTGTCCACCACACTAAACTACTTCTAAGCTCCGCCTTCTGCCTGTCAATCTAAACCAGTTCCCGTCCCAGCAGGTGCCTAATTGAAATGGAGAGAAGCTAGGCTGTGAGCCAAAGCACTGTGGAGCCAGGAAGGTGGAGGGGCAGGCGCCCCGCCGCCCCCAAGGTGCTCCCTCGCCTGGCCTCAAAGCGCCAACTTTAACGGTGAATTGGGCCATTATTTGCTCAGGCGCAGGCGTCTGTGCGCATGTGCAAAGATTTACGGCCCGCCCCTCACTCGGAATGCGAACTTTAGTGGGCTACTGGGTCAGAGTAACGATTCGCGGGGGGGGGGGGGGTGATACTACCCCCCTTCAAGAGTAGTGCGCAGGCGCAATCCCACACTGGCCAGTATTATAGGGCAACCCTCCGGAAGAACTCGCCCTCCCCCATTCGGACGCAAATACGCATGCTCAGTTGCTCGCCCACGGCCCATTTTCTTTCTTCTGCGCCTGCGCGACCGTGATTCCACGCTCGCATCTCCCACCCCCAAACCCGGCCTAGAGGACCTCGAGCTGCGAAAGGGCGGGAAAAGCGGTTGGAAAGAAGGGCGAGCGGTTACTCACTCCATGGCAGCGGAAAAGAGAGGCGGCGGCGGCCTCGGTTGAAGAAAGAAGACGGGAGCGGGAGCAAAGGCGCGGTGAGCGCGGAGACGGGCTGGGGGTACAAAGGGGTGGCGATTACAGAGCCATGGCGGGCAGTGCGCGGGCGGAGGCAGCCTTGTGGTAGTGTAAGGAGAAACCACGATGTAAGGACTAGGAATGAGGCGGCCCCGGGGACTGGAGACAGATATACCGGGCCGGGGGTTGCCGCACGACCAGTCCGGATCCTTCCGCGGCGCCCCGCCCCCGCGAGGCCTCAGCCGGGAGGGCCCGACGGCCCTAGTGGGGATCTGTGTATCCCAAGCCCTGCTCCTAACGACCCCTGGGGTTTGCTCGTCTCCCTCAGACCTAAGGATCAGCCTCCGGCGCCTTCTGACCCTGGGCTGTTGCCTTCTCTGGTCCCAGGAGCCGGGCGCCTGCTCTTTCAGATTTTGGAGATCCGACTCCATCCTCTGCCCGCAGGCCCACAACAGTTTGTTTCCTCTTTTCTTTCATTTCATCCCCCAACCGCCATCCCGAAAACTCTCGTGAGTTAAGAGTTTAAGGAGAGCCGCAGACCGCGCTGGATTCAAATCTACCAATTGTCCTGGGACAAATATCTTTGTTCATTTCCTTTCTTGTAAATGAAAAACATCTACTCTGAGTGGAGTGGGTTTTTATGAAGATCAAACTAGGCAGTGCCCTCGAAGGTCCAAGCACAAAGGTGGGCTGTTGAGTTTATCATTAGCAACTCTGGTACTCAGGCTTACCTTGTTCTCCCTACACCCTGTAAGAGCCCCAGACATTTAACCTTTATGGCCCTCGCGCCAGGGTTTCACTTTTCAGCTTTCCACACTCTCTCCTCAAGGATTCAGGCTTTTCTATAGTCCCAGCCCATTGCTCTGACTTCCTTTCAGACCTTAGCCTCAACTGCTCTCCCCTATAGGGTAGGAATTGGCTCCCAACCCTCCTCCAAAAAGAGAGATGTTTGTTTCCATTAAGTAAAAGAAAAAGTTGGTGGCTATCTTGCGCCTTCTGTGCATGGTGTCCTCATCTGTCCACATCAGGATGGCTCACCTGGAGTTCAACTTGCTTCTGCGCCATTTAGGAAACTGAATCAAGACCCAGAGAAGAGTGGGCAAGCCCTTAGAGTTACACCCAGGCTTCATCCCCCTTCCCCAGTGTCATGCAGAAAGTCCTTGGAGTCTGACCCTCTTCCTGTACAGGACTTAACTTTATCCTGCCAGCATTGGAGCAATCGCCTTTTATCTCCTTGGCTGCATAGGGGCTGCGTTGTAACCTAGGCCATATATAAAGTAGAAGTTAAAAGCACAGATTCTGGAGCCCCAGGGTATTCAGATCCAGATCCTGACTGTACCTTGCTTGTGGCCATGGCATTCTCCCTTCCTTTCCTGTGCCTCAGTTTCCTCTGTGGTAAAAAGGCGACTTTCACAGTGAGCTACTCTTTAGAGCTGTTGGAGAATTAAATGGGTTACTCCCTGTCAGACATGTAGATATAGTGGCTGGTGCACGGTCGATGCAGCTTAAGGGGCTGTTGTTACTGAGGCGGGTGTGACTTGACCAACTTCTTCCCCTTCTCAGCATAGGTACTGAGTAGTGTGTTGGGTGGGACTGGGGCCAGGCTGCTGAAACGCTGCTAGCGGCAGTCCACCCACAGGGACTTCGGTTATATACGAGGACTGGGTTTTCTCCCTTGTTAGTTTTGAGACAGAATCTCACTGTGGTGGTGGTCTGAAACTGGGTGGAAGGAATCCTGGCTCAACCCTCTGACTGGGTGTGCACAGCCCCACTCAGTTTAGGCTCTTTTGTATTTTGTGCTGGGAATTGAACACCTGCAGCCCTGTACCTATGTGTATCTTAACTTATTTTGGTTTTTTGAGACAGGCTCTCACTATGTAGTTTAGGCTGGTCTTAGACTCACAGCAGTCCTTCCTCAGCCTCCCAGTGCCGAGATTACAGGCATGCACCACCTCACCCAGACATAGATATTTTAAAGTAAACTTTCCTTTTGAAGTAATTTTAGGTTTTCAGAAAGGTTGCAAAGATAATACAGAGATGCCAAGTGTGGTGCTGCACACCTTTAATCCCAGGCAACTCTTGAGGGCTGAGGCAGGTGGATCTCAAGTTTAAACCCAGCCTGGACAACTTAACAAGACCCAGTGTCAAAATAAAAAATAAATTTAAAATTAAAGGGCCAGGGCCAGGGATTTAGTTCGGTGGCACAAGCACCTGCCTGCTAAGTGCAAGGTCCTGAGTTTGATTCCTGGTGCCAGAAAAATAGAAAAAATAAATGCCAAGTGAAATGTAGCTTTAGTGCTTGGGTTCAGTCCACATCATCACACATTCATGCACACACAAGTGCAGAAGACTTTTATGCACCTCACCCAGTTTTCCCTGTGTTAACATCTTAGTCATTGTGATACAAGATGCATTTGTCACCGCCATGGAACCAGCATCAGCACATTGCTGGTGCATAAACTCCATGCTCTATTCTGATCTCACTAGTAGTGCCTTGTCTTTTTGTTCCAGGGTACAGTATTCTCTCTAGGCATATCTCCTTACTGTCTTCTGATTTTTGGTACTTTAACACATTATCTTTCATGACCTTGACAGTTTCAAAGAATGCTGGCTGGTTGTTGGATGGAATGTGCTTTAATTTGGTTCTGTTTTGGGCTGGGGTTGAGTGTTTGGAGAGGCAGGGTATTTTTTAATAGCTAGAAATGAACTACCTGCTAGGAAAACTGTCACTGGCTGTTTGTGGCACGTACTGAGAAGGCATCATTGCAGGGACTCCAGTGCCGCTGTCCTGGACCCTTCTGCCCTGCTTTCTCTGTAACTCTTGGATCCCACCTACTTCAGCCCTGCCCTCCTAGGCAACTTGACTCAGTACAAATGGGTGTCAGTGAACGCACATAGGCGACTGGCCCTTCTCAACGTGGTCTGGTTCAAGGTGGCCAGTCATTGATGGCTGCTGGCTAGGCCACACAAGGCCCTGAAGCCCTGCTCCCTTGAAAACCTCCAGGGTCTCAACCCTCAGGTGGGGTGGGGCTGGTGGGGACTCTTTTTCAGTGCGGAGGGGCCTGGCATGGGGAGTGAGGTGGCAGTTGCAGTCAGATTGCATCAGCCCTGGCTCTTGGGTGGGGAGGGGAAGTGTGGGAATTCTCTAAGGGCCTTGGCACACCTGGCAACCGCTCCTGGGTAGCTGAGCCCTGGATAAAGAAGAGGCTCCAGCACAGCACAAGGGTAGGAGATGGAGGGGGAGAGGACCCCAGATACCAATGTAGAACCCCGAGACCCTAGGATTTTATGCCAGGAAGGGACCCCATGTCACAGAGACCCCCATCTTGGCTTGCAGGAGACAGGGCTTTGAGAGGTAAAGGAGATTGTGCCAAATCATGCAGCTCATTAGGTAGAGTCTAGATCCTGTGGCCCTACACAACCTGCAGGGCCCTCAGAGCTCTCCAAGCCTGAACCTTCACCTCAGGTTTGCTGCTGCACGCAGTTGCCAGATTCCATTGATCCTGACCTCCTATCCACTAGGCCAACGGAGGCCCTCACCGCCTGCCCTGCTGCATTGACTCCTTGGTGTTTTCCCAATCAAGGCAGAGAACTGGCGCAATGGAAAAGGCTCGCAGATTTGTATAGGATAGGTCCAGGTCTCCGTCCTGAGCCCACAGCCTTTAGTTGTGGGGGTTGCAAGCAGCTGCCTCAAATACCTTCTGCAAAGTGGGTCAGGACCAGCTCTCTGGCCAGTGTCACCACTTCTGTGTCCCTCATCAAATGGCATTTTCTCTGATCCATGAGAGTGGGCTCACTGGACTCCCGGTGTAGGATGGTAGTGAGAATTAAGTTGGACCGTGCAGGGCCCAGCTTGGACGGAGGCGCCCTTTAAGCATTCCCTCTCTGTGAAGACTCAGTGCGCCGGAGGATTAAGGAAGTGACACAGGTAAAGCTCGGCTCCTTTCTGGTGCTCTGATCTGCACAGCTCACTCTGCTGCCCCTTCCTTCACACTTGGTGCTGTTTTCAGTCTCCGCACAGACGGATGCCCGTGAATGTGACTGTTTCCTGAGTGCCTAAAGGGAGGGGTCATGGCCGTCCTCATTCCCAGAAATGTCCCCACAGTCCCCAGTCCTGTGCTGCTAGCCACATACGCACCACTACATTTTTTAAATGAGTACTCTGTAGAGGAGGCGAAGCTCATACCGGAGTCCCTGAGCAGAGCAGTGGGGTTAGCCGAGTCACATAGGCCAGGGGTGAAGGTTGGAGGTGGGCATCTGAGCAAACAAGAGCAGCAGGGCCAAGGCCAGCTCAGCTAGAGGAAGTACAGTGCAGGGGTTGGACGGGTGGCCACACACAGGCTGCCACGTGGCCCAGGGGCTCAGAGTCCTCCAGAGCTGTCCCCCACCCTCAGGCCACTTTGTCTTCCTGGGCCAGAGCAGTCACAGCTCTCAGAACCTGGTTAGTCTCTCTGAGTTAGTGTCATCTTCCTGCTGTGACAAGTTAGCAAAAACTTAGTGGCTCAGGCAAGTGTTATGTCCTGCCTTCCAGTCCTGGAGGACAGAACTGTGTTCCTCTGGAGGCTGCCTCTAGATGCCAGCATGTTATTGGCTTATGGCCCTTTCCTCCTGTTACTCTAGCCTCTGCTCCCCCATCACATCCCCTACTCTCTTCTGGGATCTCCTCACCATCTGTCTTAAGGAGATCCTTTGGTTACTTAGGGCCTACTCAGGTAATCAGGATGATGTCTGCGTCAGAAGATCTGACATCAGTCATGTCTGCAGAGACCCTTGTGCCATACAGGATACAGTTGCAAGTTCTGGAGACTAGGATGTGGACACTTCAGGTGACCATTGCCAGTTACCATGTATTTCTTCAGCCTCAGTTCCCTCATCTGGGAGATGGAGGACCGGGCCAGCCCTAGGGAGCCCCTTCGTCACATGCTCGCAGGGACTGGATATAGAGAAAGGACAAGCCTAACTGATGGCAGTGACTACATAGTGTCCTGGACCCAGGATACCATCCCTTAACCACCTCCTAGCCTGTGGTTACCTCATCCAAACCAGCTATAGAACTGTCTTGGAGAAGCCAGGCATGGTGGCACACACCTGTAATCCCAGCACTGGGAAGGCTGAGACAGGAGGATCG